CGGTCGGGTTGTTGCTGCCAGTCCTCCGTGTCCGGCATCCGTGGGAGCACCTCCGGGGGGCGGTGGCGGTCGGGTTGTTGCTGCCAGTCCTCCGTGTCCGGCATCCGTGGGAGCACCTCCGGGGGGCGGTGACGGTCGGGTTGTTGCTGCCAGTCCTCCGTGTCCGGCATTCGTGGGAGCACCTCCGCCGGGGGGCGGTGGCGGTCGGGTTGTCGCTGCCAGTCGTTCGCGGTCAACCTGGGGGTTTGGCCCACATCGGATTCCGCGAACGGCGGCATTTGATCTTGGACGGTCGCCAACGGGAGCGGGCCGGCTTCGGTCGAGTAGGACGGCTGCCTGTAGTCGCCGTCTTCGTTGGCATGGGGTGGGTACAGGCCGTTCGAATATTCGGGGATTCTCGGCCAAGTTCTCAGGGTCGTCTCGTCGACGCCAGACTGCTGCTGGATCGTGACGGATTCCACGGGCGCTATGGTCTGCGGTGGAACGTACGGCGGTCTCGTCTCCTCGCTATCCTCTCCGTCGTAGTACTCGTAGTCGTCCGTCGCGGGGACGGACGGCGTCGTGGCTCGCCAATCCGGAGGCTGGAAGGACGGACGGTAGATTACCTCCTCGGTGGTTCGCACCCTCTGCGATAGGTAGGAGGGAGTCGATGGCTCGGGGCTCGGGGTCGGCGATGGTGGATGCAGGCGTTCTCGGTACGCGGGCAGAGGCGTGTACCGTGCCGTGGTGCTGTCGCGGTGGTCGTCGTACGGGAGACCCGCCGGGATCAGGTCCTCGGCGATCCTGTTCCACTCGGGGTCCTTCTCGAAGCTCACCCCATTCTTTTCGAAGTAAGCGCTCACGGCGTTCGGGCACTTGAACTGGGAGTTCTCGGTCAAGAACATCCTCCTCAGCTCCTTCAGCTTGGACACGGCTTCCAGGTTCAGGCACTCCAGCCGGTTGCCCGAGAGTCTCAGGTCGACCAAGCTGGGCAGCGTCTGGAATACGCCGTCCTCGATGGATCCTATGGCGTTGTAGTTCAGGTCCAGGTAGGTCAGGTAGTCCAGACCTCTGAACCAGGAATCCCTGAGAGTGGAGAGACGATTGTTGTCGAGACTCAGTTGCTGGAGATTCTGCAGATGGTGGAACGCTCCCGGTTCGATGTCCCTGATCCCGCAATGGGAGCAGCCGAGGACCCAGAGGTCGGAGCCGAATCTCGAGAACGTGTCCCTCGTTATCATCGGGATCGGCATGTTCGAGATACGAATTTTTCCCGTCGACGCCGGAAGACCGTCCAGGTCGGACATCCGACCGCCCTCGCACGAGTACTCCACCATGTCGTCGTTGGGCACGTGTCTGCACGCGCCCTGCACCGTACCGACACTCGCGCACAGCACGGACAACAGAAACAGTTCGATCATGGCACCCATTTTAAGCACCCGATCGTACGAAGAAATCGTAGAGAGTTCGTTGGTTTATTTCCTTTCAGAATCGCGCGTCTGGTTGCGGAGTCGAGCGATCGCGATCGTGGCGGAAGACGCGTTTCATTATTTTGTACGCGCGGACGAACGATCGTTCAGAGGTCTCTCATTGTGGTAGGGATTTTAGCCGAAAATTTTCTATGCGTCCAGCAGCGGGCTAGAACCGGTCTAATTGCTCTTTAGACTGAACTCGGCTCTTGCGTTCCCTCTTTACTTATTTACTAGTACTCCCCCCTTCTCCGATCTTCGTACTACTAGACCACCTCCTACTGCTACTACTTCCAATCATGAAGGAGTACTATCTACTGATAAAAATAGAAAAGCTTGAAAATAGAGCGCTGCTCGCTTGTTCATCAGATCTCTGATGCGATGTGCCGCAGGGCCGACGAGTGGGGAGACGTCGTGATCAAATTTATGAGCGCATCGCCGGTTGCAGCCTTGCGTGGTTTTGTCGAAGGAAAACATGCCACGTTTCGCGGCAGTACTCTATATATGCGCTTCATATTTTCATCTCTTCTAATTAAATCCTTTTTTTTAACGTTTCCCTCGATCGACGAACTGCGCGAGCACATAATTTCGCAAAATAAGCGTGCATTTGAGACAAATTAAATGCCCTGCTTCGGAATATAATACCTTTGTTAAGAAAAAATCAATTACGCGATACCTATTTCTAAGGCAAACTGCGATAAGTAATAGCCTAAACGGTATCGTTGACAACCCAGAGTCTTTTTCAAGATTGGAACATGTTTTTAAAATTATATTTTGCAACGGCTTATATTCTTCCATTCAAAATCAGTATCCACGTGTTGTTAAAAATTAGTTTAAACATTTGTTGAAATAAAATACGTTTTAAATGTCACGAAGTACCATCGGAACAACGAGTTAAAAGACTTACCTTGCGTTTCCTGCGCAGCTTCTTCTTTTCGCTTTCTTCCGTGAAAGCCTTGAATTCTGGTACTTCGCCCTTCTCTATGAGGCCTTGGATAATATCGTGTAGCCTCGGTTCGTCGTCGCAGCTGGTGAATGGCACGGTTTCTAAGATGTAGTCCATATCTCCCTCGCCTGTAGGAAGGTGTGAAACGCGTTTATATACGCTCTGTTTAGTAAATATTATAAATACCGGTCACACTTACTGTCCATGTAAGCACGTTTCAGGTCCTTAATTTCTATTTCGGATCCTTTGTAATTTTTTTCATAGTTGTTTATATCCTCCACGGTGATTTTTTTGAAAAGCGTTTTCCAATAGTCCGCCCAGTTCCTCATCATCATTTCTTCGCTTTCTTCGTCATATTGACCCGACTGATCGTAGATCTTGCGTTTCTCACTGTCGCTGAGAATAGAATGAATTCGTCCGAGAACTTTGAATTTTTCTGTCGCCTCTGCCTTGACATCTTCCTCGACGCGATCAGGATGTACGAGTAGAGACAGCTGATGATACGCTTTCTTCACTGGCAAAATATCAAGTGGAATTACTTGGCAATAATACTATAAACGTATGCATCGTAACAATTATTTAAATGTTCGATAAACGAAGAATGAAAATAGTAAACTTTACGTTCAGGTTATGTGTATTTACCTTGTTTATCGTTAGCGGTTCTTGAAATTTTGAGAACCTCGTAGAAATCGCGCGCACCGAAGTACTGTTCACAGAGATCCAATAAACTTGCCATAATTTTGATGTGTTTCTAAATACTAACCGAAATTGTTTTGGATTTACCGGACTAACAGAACACCGGACCTTGTATCACAGACAAGGTATTATCGAACGCCATATGGGATTTCGTATTACATCTTGTAGCGCCTCTGGCGGAGAATAAACGAAGCTTTTCTCGAGATCCGTACAACGCCAATTAGTTCAGTGGCAAAACGCTCAAACTGTTAGCCAAAATCGACTGTCGGTAAATTTAGCTAACAGTTTAAGCGTTTTGCCACTGGACTAATTAGCACTGTATCAGAGGCGCTACGATCGCCCACACGTTTCCAATGCAGGGTCGCCTAAAAACATTAATTTTGGCGAAGTTAGGACATAAAAATGTAAATCACGGGCACAGGATTGTTCACGAGAATCTACCGCGTCGATATCGTATACAAAAACGAATGACATCGTTACGAAACCTAATAAATTGCTCTTTAAAGTTTGCTTAACTATAATGTTAATTGTAATAAGTTATTTTGCATAATTGTCGTTTGGTTTTCTTATGCGATATCGATGCAGCAGATTCTCTTGAACAGTTCCGTGGCCTTGGTTCAGTCTTTCACGCCCTAATTTTGTCAAAATTAACGTTTTTAGACAGCCCTGTATTCTGCACATGCGGGCGATTGTGGTGCCTTTTGTGGAGAAAAAGCAAAGCTTAGTCCGAGGTCCGTACAGCGCCAATTAGTGCGGTGGCAAAACGCCCAAACTGTTAGCCAAATTTACCGACAGTCGATTTTGGCTAACCGTTTGAGCGTTTTGCCACCGCACTGATTGGCGCTGTACGGACCCCAAAAAGGAGCTTCGTTTTTCCTCCCCACGTTTTTCATCGCCCACGTGCGCGGATAGTAGAGTTGTTTAAAACAATAATTATGGCAAAATTAGGATATAAAAAATTAAACCAAGGTCGCAGAATTGTTCAGGAGAATCTGCCGCATCGATATCGTGTAAGAAAACCAAACTACAACGACGCAAAATAGAATTAATTAACATAATAGTTGACCTAAATTCCAAGAGCGATTAATTATGTTTCGCAATGTTGAAAGAGACTAATAAATGTATAATTTTAAAAAATTTGTATGGGGAAAGATATCTATAATTATATCTTTTTAGTGTATTCTGGAGTAGTTGGTTTCTTCGATATCGATTGAACGTATATTAAAAAAATGAATCGACGTTTGAAACTTCAATATAACGTTTATATTAAAAAGACAGTATATAATATAATTTTCATAACATGGATTTAGTGATCCCAACACAACAAATAAGATATTGAACCTTATGGTTTACAATTTAGTAATAATGAAGCTAATCGATCTATGCAAAAGATATCAACACTAAGATTTACGCACTTAAACGGTGCTTACAAAAAATCGCTTATTTACAGTTGTATATTCACATTCCGTTGCTATTTTTTCGTAATACCAGTAGAATTATACATATTATACACTGCGTTTCCGAGACGTTATGGACAAATGGTATTCAGTGTCATATCTATATAGTTAACGAGTCCTAAATAAATATATATATATATATCAAGCGTCTCCCGGCTAATACTCGAAACAATTGAAATTTCCGGTACGATTATGCGAAAAGCCAGATGATATTACGAATAAAAAGGATATCGTGTCTATGCAGGAGATCGAGAGCTTCATTTACTTTCTCTTTATTGTCCCAAATTCTGACCCTAAACTTAACGCCTACATATGACCGTACTTACACGTTTTTAATGCTTCTTTTTTTTATTAATAATCTTACAGCAGTGATTGTTGTTACCTTACAGAGCAATTATATACATTAATTCACGTTATAAATATAAGTTATTATACATTTATTCCTATATGTTCAGTTATGTAGTAAATAATATTTTGAGCACTTTTTGCATCCATCGAGATAGAAAAGAGAAACAAACGCGTTGCGGAAGATGGTGATTCCATTATCATCGAGAAACTTTCGCGTAAGAGTAGTATGGTTAATTTTATAATAATATTAACAACTAATCGTTTCGATCGTGTACACGATGCCGATTCGCAAATAATTTCGATGATAACCGACAAGCCAGAATTCATTTTCGTGACATACGAGTGGAAGAACCAAGACCGTGAATGTCTTCTTTGGTAGATATTCTTCGCACGTTTTTCATCAAAACGTTCAATCATGCTGTCGTCTAGTATTGGTACTCTTGCGATTGTTGTTCGTCGAGTGTTCCGAGCATCGCCGATTTTGTTACACGATCGTTTCGAAACGAGACGATCGTTTCCACAAACGAAAGATAAAGCGTGGAATTCTTTGAAAATTCGTTAGCCACCGAGAGTCTTTAGGTCGCAACAATGGGTAAGAGCTACCAATTCTAACGTAGTCTTCGACTAATCCTACGCATTATTTTATTTACAGTTACGATCGACAATGTCCATAAGAATCAGGTAATACGTGTGCTGTCGAGCGCAACGAGCATCGCCGCTCGTTTCTCCGTGTTTTGCTTGAATACGGTGCGGCTCTCTTTGCAAGATAATAGCCCAACCACTCGGTGACCGATCGTCCCTGCTGTTCCACTGAAAAATTTGAACGCGCGACGATGTTGACGACGATGTTCGCAATGGTTAAATTTGCATAGCGCGCGCGCGCGCGCCTCATCCAATTAAACTCTGCAATTCTAAATTCTGCGATAACTGCATGATGTTTTATAAAAATAATTTCTCGGTGTCTTTCTGTCGCAAAAACGTATCTCGAACAATCCTCTAGTTAATATTGTCTAACAATAAACGGTCGCAACACCTGCGAGTCACGGATCAACGACTACCTCTTGTCGACCAAACGAACACATTTCGTTTGCGATCGTGTCGCGCTCACGCCAGGTTATTCTAGAAATTTAACCCGCGATCTTTCCTCTTCTTCTTTTTCCTCTTCTTCTTCTTCTTCGTCTTGGTCTCTTTACAATTTTCCCTAGCTATCAACTTGTCGTATCAAAGGTACACTGTATATCTTTCGTTCGATGACAATCCAGCCAATATGCTGGCCAGCAGTGTCGACGTTAACTGTTCACGACTACGTTGCTCGTCTCTCCGTCGCACGACGATCGTGATCTCCCATGTCGCTATTTCATACGATTGAGAACTAAGTCGCAGACCACCTGCAGACCTTTTTGGTACGGGCTTTCGGCTAACGACTGCGCGAGCTTCACCGCCTCCACGCAATGCTTCCGGGCTAGGAATCTCGTCTGATCGAGACCCTGCGATTTGTGCACGAGATCGAAAGCTTTCTCGACGTCCCCGGACTCTTGAAACCGGCGCATGATCATCGCATTCAGCTCCGGATACTGCAACAGCCAAACGTATCGTCGCTGTAGAAACCCTTAAATCGATCGTTAGGGGATGAAGAGACTTCTTTCGGATCTGTGTTCCAGCGCCGCTTTATTTTCGAGTACGGTAAATTCTCCCTGGTCGACGCTCAAATTCTACGCAAAGATGGACAGTTTGGGAAGAGGAGATACGAGTCGATTCAGGGAGAATTTACCGCAGTTCGTTAGAGGCGCGAGAACCCTGTTACAACTCTACGTTTTCTCTGATAGTATTTGTCTTTCGTTGCTCGAACGAATTAATTTTCATTAAAAAATGTTCACGCGTACCAACGCGTTCGTCTTCCAAGGAAAATCGATCGTCCACGACATAGGATTTCTCAACGAATCTATCGATACTCGAGAAATTTTAGTCGCGAAGCAACGAGTTATTTCGATCCGCGTAAAGCTCGCGCGGAGAGCTCGATCGTTAAAGATCCAATTATCGAGTCTCCGCATATAAAGCGTTAAAAGAGCAATAGATCAAGGTCGAGAACAGCTAGGCGTTTCGTAAAAGCAAAAACTTTGTTGCACCGTCGGACGATTAAAGACGTACGCGTTGGCGCGTCCGATCCAATTTTTCCCCTGGTTTTTCCGAGGCTAATTGCCGCGGGGTTTAATTGCTAGACTCTGACGCTTACCCGTTCGCATGCAAAAAGAACTGGAGCAGTCGCAAGGCCGAGTTTAAGATCGGCCGCGGTCGGTTTGCCCATCGCCTCTAAAGACGACACGAAATCCAACAGATCGTCAACTAATTGAAACGCCAGACCGACGTTTCTACCGTACTGGAAAGCTAACTCTGCCAGGTGATCGTCGGCGCCTCCTAACATGGCCACCTATCGCAAAATCGGTCCGTTTATCGTGGGATCCCATTGTCGAATTCAGCGCGATCCTCGGCGAACTTACAGCTTTCAACGAGTTGGCGATCAGACTGGCCGTTTTCCGGTACGTTTTCGTGAGGTAATGCGCGAATCGCTCGTTCTCCGTTTCCTTGGACCCGAGTTGCATAAATTCGCCCTGCACCAGGTCCGTCACGACCTGGAAAGCACCTGGACTTGTCAATACTTATCGTCAGGATCGCGTCAGGAGCCTAGAGATCCTGGTCGCTATCCCGCAACAAGCGTTTCTCTGTATTCGCGTTCGACCACGCTTCGTGGATATCACAATTTTACTAGAAACAGACTGCAGAGATTTTAGGGGCACCCGTACAGATTTATCGGGCACTCGAGACTCGATATCGAAGGGAACGGATTCTCGTTTATCGGCCCAACGATCGGCGGCGGTCCAGGCGTGAAATACGCCTCGGCGCGAATAAGAATGAACGAGAGCCCGCGGCGAATTAAAAGCGCGTGGACTGCGAGAGAATCGATCTCGATTGTTTTAGAGCAACGGACGGACGACTTTTAGCCGCGTTAGCGTTTATGAATTGGCTAGAAAGTTCTTCGAACGGCGAAGTTGAGCAAGATTACTCTACGCTTCGAACGCCGTTTCCTCCAGGAGGGAACTTTCGCACTAAAAATTTCATTCCGGACTTTCGAGTCTCTTTCACAAGTGTTCCCGCGGAGCCCGGCGTTGTGTGCGTGCAGGTGATTCGGTCTAACATGCAGACTAGCCCGTCGAATCACCGCCGAAAGCTAAGAGAGACTCCGAAGTAGAACGTTACCTGACTGAGAGTGAGGGTGACGTCGTCGTTTCGCAGCTTGGATATCATAATCGACACTATCGCCAGAATGTAGTCGCCCGCCATCGTCACCTGGAAACAAGAATCGTGATTGAACCCTGCCACTGTCGCGAAACGAGCGCGATTTCTTATTTTACGGTTCCACGAACTTTCGGCACTCTTTCTCTCACCTGTGTCCGGCCGACGATATCATTCGCTCGAAACGTAAGTACGTTGAAAAAGTAATCCGCGGCATGCGATATTAAACTTTCCAAATATGAATTCGACCAAATCGAATGCAGCGAATGCTCCCTAATTTTCCTTCAGCTTGTAAACAAAAATGGACAATTTCGGGGGAAGAGAAGATACGATTGTTCGAGCCTCGCGCCTCGTTTTTTACAATCGCCGACGATCGGCGGCTATGAAAACGAGCAACGAGGCTCGAATAATCGTGTCCCCGTTTCCCAAATTGTCTAATTTCGTTTACAAGCTGAATTAAGATTGGGGAGAATTTACCGTACCGCGGTCTCGTTAAATTTTCGAGGTTGTCGATGTGGCAGTCGAAGGAATACTGTTACCAAGCTAGTTCGATCGAACGAAACAAGATAAAGCGAATACACGGTTAAGGTATCTCCTCGCGCGACACCTTTCACCTCGCGTCTTTCGAAAGGGAACCGAAGAACCGATCGCAAGAACGCTCCTCCGTTTGTACGCTTTTTCTCCCCAGATGCTAGCTAGGGATTCCCGCGTGGCAAGTCGGTTACGCGTAATTAATGCGCCTGCGATAACGATCTCCCAGCCGTCCGATTTTATTCCGCGGTGCTGGCAGCTCGTCCAGGACTGACCAGCGGAGGTGGCTACTTTCTTTCGTTGATCCTGCAAGTTTCACGGCCGCGGGAGCGTAATTCGGTCCGCGATTACGGTAAATGCGCGCGTACACAGAAAGCGTAACATCGTGGAGCGTCGTGGAAAAACTTGGCGAACCGGCCGGAAAACTCGGGGATCGAGATCCTTTCGTCGATAATTCAACGATCGTTCCGATCCGCGCTTCGTCAGGAAGCAACGTTGGCAAAGTTTATCGAAACCTCCGTTCGGCCGTGTATTTCGAACTTTCACCGCGAGTCGGCGCCATTTTGGAAAGAAGACGTCGGCGGTCGCACGTGTTTCGTGGGCTCTGCAGTATCGTTTTATCCGACGAAGCGCAGATTTTTGGAAACGATGAAATTATCCGTGGTTGATTCGATAATGACTGCAATCGTCGCTGCAATATTGTGGTAAAAATTAGGATACAATTTTGCGACAGTGCATAAATCGGGAAAGGATGTATATATTTGAGCGAAACGGTCAACGAGATCGTTGCTAGTATAAAAACAAATTTCTCCTTCGTACACGATTTCCATAAATGACGAGATCGGTCCGCGAGATCTCGAGCTCGTAGATATATAGACCAACGGATCGGCGAGTCCTACGTACAGAATTATGTTGATTCCTCAATTAGAGATAATATAGACCTTCGCAATTATTTATGCAAACCAGACCGTCCGAGGCAACCATCGCTCGTACGGCGCATGAAATTTCCCGGTAAATTACCAAGTTAAATCGGCGCCGTGCCACCGATAGCGCGCGGAGTTATCACTTGTATCTTCATTATGACGAGTGCGGTCGTGCGTGCAGCGCTCTTAGAAAGTCGCGGAATGCAAATAAGGGTTGGACCGAGAGACTCGTGCGCGCAAATAATAGCGGCTGCGGCTGCGGCGGCGGCGGCAGCAGGGGTGAAAGAGGCGAAACAAAGTCGTCGCGCGATTGCGGTTTTTTCCGGTGTGCAGGAGCCGCGAACGAAAGCGTCGATGAGCACGGCGCTTCGCCGTACGGGAGCCGCGACACGCTGAAACCACACTTTCTTAATGGCTTTTAACACCGGCCAGGCTACCGGCTATTTCTAACCCTGACCGAATCGCATATTCCCGATGCGTTGCTTCGCCTCTCCGCGCGAACAATTCCTCTAATACCTAATCAACGGCAGTCGCCGGGACTACAAAGTCGCCGCTTTTTCTTCCATGCGTAATGAGCAATTCGTTTTCCACTTCATTGGCGCGCGTTCCATTTGCGCTTCTCCACGGTGCGCCGCGCGTCGCGCAGCCGTTCATTCATTCGAACCGAACGATATTCGTTCGAACATTCGCGATGAAAAGAATTCCCTCGCGTTCGAGCCGCGTTTCGTTTGCCAATTTCAATCGCGTCGTTCGAAAAGTTCCGTCTCGAACGCGGCGCAGTCTCGACGTAGGCAAACGGCGTGGCGCCGTTAAACGAGTGAAAGTTTCAGAAAATAATGGAACATTAATAAAATGACGAGCGCGCGAGAGCGCACGCGCCGTCTGTGCATGCCGTTTGTATAAATTACGCGAACGAATTGTGCGGGGAGAAGAGGCGTGCTCGGTTCGCGGTAATTTCTTGCAAGCTTAATCGGATCGCATCGACGAGCCGCCATTTCTCATCCTTGAAACGCAGCATTTCTCGCTGATAAATCGTTCGCGGCTCTTTCTAGAATGCCGCGCTTTTGTCGACCATCTTCCCGACCGTAGAAAGTAATTTCGTTATTACTTAATCTGTATTATTAACTTTCTAAGACGCGTGGAACAATGCATGGTTCTCGGACGAAAAACGCGATTCGACATTATGTAAATATTCCTCGCGATGAACTTTCATAATTGCGAGGCATTTCAATGAAATCGTCGCTGTTTTAAACGATCAGCTGTTAACGACGGTTGCTAAGAATTTCCGTCGCATCGTCGCGCCAGACTTTGCGCAAAATGGAAATTGAATAAAAATTGATTTAATCGACTGATCAATTAATTTCGATGCTTTAAGACCAGGAAATGCTCCGGAGTAGAGCTCGCGTCGCGCGAAACCATCGCAAACGATTCGGCGGAACTAACGGTGCATCGTTTCCCGTTTGGCAAAAGGTGACAAAATTCTCGCGAGCGAAGCTTCTCGAAAACAGCGATCGGTTTCGTTAACGACTCGGACAAACAGGCCCCCGTCGCGAGGGGCCGTACGACGTCGCGTCGCGCCGCAAACGGCGCGAGGGGCCGTGCCATTTATCTCGGGAGACAATGCCGCGAGAGATGAGACTGCCTCGTAATTTCGAGTTTCACATCCGGCGCGGCGATGTGCACATTGCCACCGGGTTTCCCTAAAAAATGTCGTTTCCGTGACCGCGACGGTTTGTTGAACGTGTCGTCCGCGTTGCGAAACCGACAGTTTCGCAAGACGCGCGCGAATCGGCCGGGCCGCAGGGTGGATAGTCTGCGGAGAATCGATCGCAATTAGTTATTTGCTTGGAATAATTCGTGGTACAATGGTGAACGTCGATCGCGAGACGATCTATCGAAAGCGGGCTTGCGATAAATTGCACGATACAATATGTAATATTATAATAATTGTGACAGGTTGCACGATCGGGATTCGTTGAATACGTAAACTAAGCGAGATGCGATCTTCCGATCGATTACGCGCGACGATCGTGCACGCAGTCGGCTATCGGATTCGCTGTTAATCCATTTAGGGCCATTAAAATTATTATCGCTGTAATTCGAAGCAATTATCGCGAGGTCCGAGGGTATTAGGTTAGAACCTTTCGAGATCGCTTCGTTCGACGTCGAAGTCGTTTAAAGATAGAGTTAGCGAGTTATAGAGTCAGCAGGGTCTGAAACGAGGTGTTTTTGTGCGACTGGAACCGTAGCGTTGCGACTCGATTGGTATCGGTGCCGGTGATTTGAACGCGTGGCGAGCGACTACGTATCGAGCGATGAGATGGATAGCGGTTGTTCGGTGCTCGTGAAAGACATTCTTATTAGACCCTCGTCGTTACAGCTCGTCGTTAGAACGTGTCCGACGCGGCAAAAAATGCACACGTTTGTCCAATTATTTATCGAGACACTCGAGCAGTCGTTTCCAGTTTCTCTATTTTAATCGGGCTAAATCGACGTTTTACGGACCTTAAACGCTATTTAGAACGATAACCTGTGTCAATCGCGAATCTTTAGAAAGCAGTGAATTAAGCTTTGCATCTCGTAAACGAAACGCCTAATCCCGAGGTGAATTTTCCACGCGGGCGATAAGAAATTTTCATGGAAGAAATCTAAGCTGGAAAAATGCGTAGCGAATCCGCGCAACGGACCGCGTATTTGCGATAATACAACTCTTGGTCGCACCTGGTTCGTTTTTCTCGTTTCGCAATTGATTCAGCGATCGCGATGAAACGATGCCGATCGAAGAGCAGGTTGCGATTAACAGAGTCCAAAGGCGATTCTCGTCGCGCGTAATTCGATCGGACGATCGTCGACTCAGAGCCGGTCCGAGTTCTATCTCGCCGCGTTCACGACCTCGTTATTTGCATGTAACCGGGCGATAACTGTAATACACACACGAGCAAAAATTCCCCCAATTAGTGCCCCGTTAATACGGGCCGCGTTACGCAATCGATTAGGCCGGTGGATGCTTCGAATCTTCGAGGCGAGACTTTTGTGGCAGGCAGACGGCTTTCCGTTTCTTTGGAAATCGTTAATTCGTTTCTCAAGGCCGTCACACTTTTCAGAACCGACGGTGAATCACGGGTGCTCGACCAAAAATACGCGTCCCCGTCGACCCGGCAATCGATTCCACTGTGGATTTTCCAATGATTAAGCGGACTGATAAGTATATCCACGCTTGGCTCGGAAGATTCTGCAAGTTACCGGCAATTGCGATTTTCGCGGAATCTTTTCACGTCGATCCTTCTCCATTTGAAGAATATCGCATCGTTTCGAATAGTTTTAAAGTAGGGGTTGCTTCGTTCTTGAATATTCGCCGCTGCAATTGTTATTTTTCCGTTCCGTTTCTATGCGGCCGACGAACGCGAACATCTGCTTGGAATCGCGAATTTTCGATCCGGAAACAAAAGCTATCGGACGAAACAGGAATTGGCCAATCCGCTGAGACTCGGCGGGCAAACACGCTTAGGGGAGGCAAGGACCATGGCGGCCAAACCGGGGTTTCAAAACGGATCGTTATGCGCTCCGATCCGTGGCTCCGGCTTCGAGCAACTCTAATTTACCAATTATCCGTCGACTTTCGAGCCGACTCCGCCGCGGCCGGGCCCGCTCTAACGCGTCGTTAATCGCGCGATTGATTTTCTCTGGCCGACGGCGAGGCAGCGCGGCGCGGCGATTCTCCTTTTCGAAATCTCGCCGAGCGTAGCATCGGGCACGCGGACCAAACGAAGGCGACCCGTTTCCGGTTCCAGTCCAAGAAAGCGTGCACGGCCGGCACAACGGCGCAGACGTGAATCGCATTAGCCTCCTTCCTCCTCCGGTATTTCAGAGAGAGAGAGAGAGAGAGATAGATAGATAGATAGATAGATAGAGAGAGAGAGAGAGAGAGAGAGAGAGAGAGAGANCTTCCGATCGATTACGCGCGACGATCGTGCACGCAGTCGGCTATCGGATTCGCTGTTAATCCATTTAGGGCCATTAAAATTATTATCGCTGTAATTCGAAGCAATTATCGCGAGGTCCGAGGGTATTAGGTTAGAACCTTTCGAGATCGCTTCGTTCGACGTCGAAGTCGTTTAAAGATAGAGTTAGCGAGTTATAGAGTCAGCAGGGTCTGAAACGAGGTGTTTTTGTGCGACTGGAACCGTAGCGTTGCGACTCGATTGGTATCGGTGCCGGTGATTTGAACGCGTGGCGAGCGACTACGTATCGAGCGATGAGATGGATAGCGGTTGTTCGGTGCTCGTGAAAGACATTCTTATTAGACCCTCGTCGTTACAGCTCGTCGTTAGAACGTGTCCGACGCGGCAAAAAATGCACACGTTTGTCCAATTATTTATCGAGACACTCGAGCAGTCGTTTCCAGTTTCTCTATTTTAATCGGGCTAAATCGACGTTTTACGGACCTTAAACGCTATTTAGAACGATAACCTGTGTCAATCGCGAATCTTTAGAAAGCAGTGAATTAAGCTTTGCATCTCGTAAACGAAACGCCTAATCCCGAGGTGAATTTTCCACGCGGGCGATAAGAAATTTTCATGGAAGAAATCTAAGCTGGAAAAATGCGTAGCGAATCCGCGCAACGGACCGCGTATTTGCGATAATACAACTCTTGGTCGCACCTGGTTCGTTTTTCTCGTTTCGCAATTGATTCAGCGATCGCGATGAAACGATGCCGATCGAAGAGCAGGTTGCGATTAACAGAGTCCAAAGGCGATTCTCGTCGCGCGTAATTCGATCGGACGATCGTCGACTCAGAGCCGGTCCGAGTTCTATCTCGCCGCGTTCACGACCTCGTTATTTGCATGTAACCGGGCGATAACTGTAATACACACACGAGCAAAAATTCCCCCAATTAGTGCCCCGTTAATACGGGCCGCGTTACGCAATCGATTAGGCCGGTGGATGCTTCGAATCTTCGAGGCGAGACTTTTGTGGCAGGCAGACGGCTTTCCGTTTCTTTGGAAATCGTTAATTCGTTTCTCAAGGCCGTCACACTTTTCAGAACCGACGGTGAATCACGGGTGCTCGACCAAAAATACGCGTCCCCGTCGACCCGGCAATCGATTCCACTGTGGATTTTCCAATGATTAAGCGGACTGATAAGTATATCCACGCTTGGCTCGGAAGATTCTGCAAGTTACCGGCAATTGCGATTTTCGCGGAATCTTTTCACGTCGATCCTTCTCCATTTGAAGAATATCGCATCGTTTCGAATAGTTTTAAAGTAGGGGTTGCTTCGTTCTTGAATATTCGCCGCTGCAATTGTTATTTTTCCGTTCCGTTTCTATGCGGCCGACGAACGCGAACATCTGCTTGGAATCGCGAATTTTCGATCCGGAAACAAAAGCTATCGGACGAAACAGGAATTGGCCAATCCGCTGAGACTCGGCGGGCAAACACGCTTAGGGGAGGCAAGGACCATGGCGGCCAAACCGGGGTTTCAAAACGGATCGTTATGCGCTCCGATCCGTGGCTCCGGCTTCGAGCAACTCTAATTTACCAATTATCCGTCGACTTTCGAGCCGACTCCGCCGCGGCCGGGCCCGCTCTAACGCGTCGTTAATCGCGCGATTGATTTTCTCTGGCCGACGGCGAGGCAGCGCGGCGCGGCGATTCTCCTTTTCGAAATCTCGCCGAGCGTAGCATCGGGCACGCGGACCAAACGAAGGCGACCCGTTTCCGGTTCCAGTCCAAGAAAGCGTGCACGGCCGGCACAACGGCGCAGACGTGAATCGCATTAGCCTCCTTCCTCCTCCGGTATTTCAGAGAGAGAGAGAGAGAGAGATAGATAGATAGATAGATAGATAGAGAGAGAGAGAGAGAGAGAGAGAGAGAGAGAGAGAGAGAGAGAGAGAGTTCCAGGCCCGACGATCGGAACGGGACGTCCGATCGATCGATCGGGGATCTATCGAAATTCACGGTGCATCCCGCGAAATTCCAGATACGGATGATGCCTGGTCGATCAACCGCTAAGATTCCCACAAAGTCGAAGCAATTGAATTAATCAGACCGGAAGTAGAGACTTCAAATTTATCGCAGCGGATGACATTGGAACGCTTTCGCGTCCGGAACATCCTAATCGAATTCGGTTCGTTCGAATATATTACGATGAAAACGAACGAACGATCGCGGTCGACCAATATTAATTCCACGTAGATATTAATTTCGCGGTGGAGTAACGCGGAAAGCGCGCGCAGAATCGGTAACGCATTAATTTGCTAGAAGCACGGGTGTTGCCAGGATGACGGAGCAGAAAGAAGAAACGGTTCGACAGCCTGTGACCTGTTTCACGTCGGCCATTAAACGCGCAGCAGATACGACTTCTAAATTTTATTCTACCATGGTTAATCGAATACATCCCGGCCGAGAGGAATCGAAATCGCCCGAGGCATCTCCGCGATCGGTTTACCTCGACGACAAGCGGATGCTCACCTTCTTTTGGCTCCAGACAACGTTCACCGAAGGCTTGCCACGGCGGAAGTCTGGCTGGTCGATTACGTCGTCGTGTATCAACGACGCGTTGTGGATCATCTCGGAGATCATCGCCACCTGCCGTTGCGATTCCAAGAGATCGCTGGAACAGAACCGTGTCTTATTATTCGTTGGCAAGAGATCGTCGCCTCCTCGAGCATGCTTTTTCGTTCCCCTAGGCTAGAGCGAGGCGCGGACCGAACGGCGTGCCGGTTCTACGCGAGAAGAGAAAGGAATGCCGGTAAATATAAGTCAACGGGCGTGATTTCGTGCCGCAATGCCTCCGAGGAGTCGAAGGAGCGTTCGGTGCAGGCTGTTCGGCGCGTCCGTTGCTCTCGATGCGCGACGTGCTCTCGATCGACGCGTTAATTATCGCAAATTAACCCGAAAAGTTCCCACAATGCCGAAGCAATTTGATCGCTTAGACGCGCCGCGACTGCCGCGCCGACAGTCTCGATTCGATCTCGTCGAATTACGAACGCGAATTTTGAGTATTCGAAACCGGAAACTTCGACGCTGTTCCTCGTTCGTTCCGGCTCGTATTTTAATTTCACAGAGAGGATTGGAACAAGTAGAGCTGAGACGCGATTATCGAAATATCGGTGTTACGTGTTGATAAAACGGTGAGAACATTTGAATAATTCAAAAATGCTACATTGCTTGCACCTCGTTAAATTAATTAAAGAACGACAACGATATCTGTATGTATAGCTCTTGGCATGTTGTAAATCAGCCGCGTAAAAACCTAAGCGTGAACCGTATTTGGAATTATTTTACATAGCATTAGAGAATTCGCCTGATCCCGACCGGCCCGTGAACGAGCAAATTTAGGAAAGGTCCAAGAAACCGGCGCCTGTTTGCCTCGGGCCTCAAATATTTGAGATCCGACGAACCGACGTTCGTAATTGTCCGTCTCTGTTTTCTCGTTAATTAGAGAAACTCCGCGCTATAGTTTTTTACGGGCTTCGCGAGGCAACACGAAAAAACGAGCGAGGAGATCGAACGACGATTGCGTCGCCGAGAATTTTGTTTCGTGTGTTTGCTGGTCCCGGCGGTCGAGCAGGGATCGAGAAGTTCATCGAGGAATTTTGTCACCTTGCATAATCGCCGACTGAAAAGATCGACGAGACTATCCTCGGCGAGCCTGGTAACGCGGCGCCATAGTTACAATACCACTATTTACAATTCGCCGGGCATAATGCGATAACGTACTCTACACTAGTTCTCATTCACGGAACATCTCATTCATATTCATCGGCGACGGTTCGCCTACGACGACGGGTAATTGCTTTCAAAGCGATTTATGAATTCGAAACGGACAGCATTCTTTCGGTGCTTTCTAAACGCGTCGCGACGCCGCTCCGTTTTGTCAGGGTGTTTCGATGAAGTTTTCGACTTTTCCCGATGCACTTTCCGAGGCTTTCTCAGATTCCGTTCGAAAAAAAAACGTAATTTCTGCACGAACATTTGCATTACCGTGCTATGTATTTGCACACAATTCTAGCTTGCTAATGAAAATCAACGTTTGTTCGATACTGTTTTCAAAATGTTTTCCACGTCACAAGAATACAGCCTTGTTAAATTTTCATGCTTAATTCATATCACTGCGCACGAAGATAGCGTGAAAACGCTGGAAAATATTACAATATTCAAGAAATATTGTGTCTGCAAGTCACCGAATGCGTCAAATTTTCGAGCTTGCATCGGTCTCCGACGACGTCCAAACTAGAAATCCGAAGGAAACGTGTTTCGTGGGTCACCGGTGACCCCGTGGGTCGCGAATCCGCGTTCGCCGGGAATACTAAACCATTTTGTGATACCATAAATCATCCCAGTGAAAGTACGAAGCCTTAGAGAAAACGCTTCTCCGTGGGTCACCGGTGACCCGTGTGGCGTGGCGCGCGTTACGAAAGGTATTTGTGTTACTTCACGCGATCCGGTCTATCCCGTCTCGTCCTTCGAACCTTCCGTGGAAATTTATTTTATTTATCGCCGAACGATCGTGGAAGAGTGAAACGCTCGTTTGTTCTCGAGCATTTCTTCAACTTTCTGGCGAAACGAAAAAAGCTCCTGACCCTTCGCATTCGAAGCCGTTTCGACTCTAGATCCGAAGTAGTATTTCCAACCTACGCTATTTCTGTTTTATGCGACTTATGCGATATTTTGCTATTTGTGCAACAGTTACGCTTTTAATAGTTTTATCAAAAAAAAAAATGTAGCAATCTAAAAGTTATCTCGAAACATGACATAACAATTTTTAACGGCGTCCTGTTCGCTTTTGTTGACGAAGCATCTTGTTTTCATCTCCGTTACGGAATAATTCATAAAAATCTGCGCAGAACAGCCGACGTCTGCCGATCGACGTATGCCCGATTGACGCAATCCGTTGATCGAAGTTAATTATACGCGCGCGAAGAGAAGATCGTCGAGAACACGGACCCGTCGATCTCTAGCCGCAGCAACCCCCGAATCGCGAAACAAAGGAAGTTCATCCGGGGCGGGGGACGGGGGGAGGTCGAACTTGAAAGAATCCCGTGAGTTGTGCCTCTCACAACTCACTTTCTTTCCTTGTGGTAATTGATAGCTCGTGCCATGAGAGTTGCCACCATCGGCCGCAACGCCTTTCCCTTGCCGTCGAAGTAGTATGTCGCTATGGTTTGCAGCTCCTTCTGCGTCGTGTTCCTGACGAGTACCTGAAACAATGGCAAACGTAACCTTGACTCCGGACGCTGAAACGTAGAGCTCTCATTGTTGCTAGGAAAACCGCGACACACCGATCGTCGCCTTCCACCGACAAAAATTAACGCTGCTGTAACGTTGCGGTGTAACTCGTGAATCGAACTCGTTACATGCTCCCCTGGGAAACGATTGTCTCGCGTTTACTCCGTTCGCCGCGCTTCGTCGTTTCCTCGCCACGCGTCGGCGAACAAAAATCATCGCGGACCACCGCTGTTACGAAAATTAATTTCTTTCGCGAAGAAAGAAAAATCCGGCCACGAACGCCACGATATACCGAAGCGAATATAATCGTAGCCAATAAATTAGCGGCAACATCGGGACGCGACGTCCAGAAAGTACCGTTCGGATCGAATCGGCGCGATTACAGCGATTCTATTTCGATTCAACGCAGACGTTACATATATTATTCTAAACCGATTTAATACCGTCGCGCGCATAGGCGACGGCTAGCCATAAGACGATGATGATGATTCGCATACGTGACGAACGGCTGGATTGCAAGCACCGATAGGAAAATAGCAGAAGGACCGCTTTGAATTCCATTCGCGACACGAGCTGAAAGTCCGTCCTGGAATTTGGCCAAAGTCGAAAGGAACGCTGATTAGCAACTCGCAAAACGAGCTTACGTCAGAGAGGCTTCCACGACCGGTGTCCCTGGTGGCCACCCGGTCGGAAATTAGCTGTACCCGAAACACGATCCAACCGTACTTTCTTCTAATTGTGGAACGCTGCTTCGTTCGCAGTCGTCGGAGAACAACCGATCGTTCAATTTTCATGGCATTTACTCCTACGACTTTCGTCGCTCGAACGAAAGCGCGCAAAGGTCTCTTTCGCGGTTAGACCGCTCGAAGACTTCGCTTTTAACGTAAACGCGAGTCGTCTTCGACAGCCCCGACGGGAACAAAGACGTAAACGAGAGACGAACGCTTTCCACAGTCAGATCTCGCGGTATCCTTCAATCATTGTAATTTCCCTACTCCTTCAAATTGCATCTATTCGTTTCTGCGATAAACGCATCGAGACTGCAGTCTACGGATTCGAATGATATTTTTACAGGGGTGCACTATACTATACTACTAGAACTGTACACCTTGTTCCAAAAGTTGCGAACATAGGTACAGCGCAAACAAAAGATCAAAATATATTATTCGTTTTGTTCATTATCCGAGCCTCTGCCGTATAATCGAATTGTCTCAGGAAAATGCCAAGATTCTCGATCATCCGTCGAACATCTACAAGAGCTTTATAGCCTCTTAACGGATAGACGATGTAGTTTCCAGCCTTGAGTTTCGGCCCTTGGACTCTAATTACCGCAACTAGAGAATCATGTATCTATTATATTATCGCCAGACCGCGGGTCTTTACGTACTTGCAGCACGTGTAGACTCTTCGGATCGAACACGTACAAGACCATGTAAGGTCTAATAGCGGTATTATGTTGTTTTCACGATGAGTAATCGTCTAGGTCGCTTTTCTCCGATACGAATGTTCGCGAGGCGACGAAGGAAAGTGGGAACACGCGGAAAGATCCGCGGGCCGATCATCGCGGTTCTTGTACCTATCCGAGAAATTCCATCGGCTTGCCAGTTCGCGGACACTGTCAGTGCTAGGGTCAGCCGAGGGTGCAGACAAGGCTGCCGATCGGATCCCCGCCGCGACGCGACGCGCCGCCACGTAATTGCGTGACGACGAGCAGCGCGTTATCGCGTTCCATGGTGCAACGAGAAAAGTGCTTTCTAAACGCGCTCGCACGCGCATACGCAAACACAATGGCAACTGCTCGCGAGTAAAAGTTCTACTCTCGGCCATATATGCGGACCATGAAGCTAGCCGGCCAGCTAGCCAGCCGGCCAGCGGCTGCTTTCGCTAGCGCGCGAAGCGCCTCGAGCACGGGCGCCTTGTCGTGAAAACGGCATTCCTTACTATAAATATTTATAATTACGCGCGGCGCGACGATCAGCTCGTCGGCTAGAAATTCATCGAGAGAGAGGGGGGAGAGAGAGAGAAAGAGAAACTGAAGAGAATAAGAATTCAGGCGACCGAGAGTCTCGCGTCGCGCAATGACGAAACAGCCGGCGATGATGCAAATCGATGAGCCCGTTCCTGACACACTGGCCATCGGGGGAGCGAGCCACGACTCTCTTCCCCTTCCGGATCTGGTCCACCTTTTCCTGTTGAAACGCCCTGGCGGAAGTACTTGCCGATTCGAGACGAATCCTCGCGGTTTCCACCGAAAATGGCGGTAGGAAATCGATGCCGACGAGCCGGCCCCGCAACGTCCTTCTCGCCGTGACGCGCGATTTCGACGGCGGAACAACGATCCTTGAGCCTTTTTTCGGCGATGATTCAATTTTTCGGTCCACGGAGATTCTTCCGAGATGCTGGACCTTGAATTCGCGCGCGTGGCTTGCGATATTTAGATTTTACTAAACGCCGAGTTGCTTGTCGCTTCGGTGAAAGATGCGAGCGACTTCGATTAATCGACTGCAAAGAAACAAGCGAATTGAATTGCGGGAGCGACGCTGTGCATAGATACTGATATTCGACGAAGTCGCTTCGCCATTGTAGCTAGAATCTTTATGGAAGAAGGAAATGGTTCGACTTATTGCAGATTCAACGTTCTCAGTCTTGCAACTTTCGGTGTATTCGTTTGGCATTGACTGCAGCACTTTTTATAATCGTGCACGCGGTCGTTTGTTACAGCAAGTCGTCAACCTTCGTTAGAGATTGTTGCAAACGATCATTTGCAAATTATAAACAACATTGCAGCACGAGGTCCGGTACGCCTCTCTCATTGAGAGATGGCAACGTAATCGGAAATGAACGTACTTGATGCGTATGATGCCATGAGATATTGTCGCTCAAGGTTATAATAATGACTCGGATATCTAATAAATGATAGCTTTCGAAGATCCTGCTTACAAGGATCAAAGCCTCGCTGAACGATCATTGTTGACTCGAGGTGTTTTGCGGCTGCACTCGTCAAGGTTAATCGCGAACTTCATTAAAAATACTCGGTTGGAACAAGCGTGTCGGAAATTATGACCGCAGATCCGAATGCAGCGTACAAATGTTCCAAATCGAATGTCGGAAACAGAAATGAAAAATTGAATAACTTTGGCACGCCAAGATTGCCGCAAACGCGGCAAATCCGCGATCGAATCGCTTCCTGTTGGCACCGGTACGGCGGCATGTTCATCGAAATACCGATATCTTATGATTATTACTCGGCCGGTGCTTCGTTCGAAGGAATCTCGACGCAGACGCCCGGAAGAAACGTAGCAACGAGTAGAAAAAGTGACATAACCCAGGACATAGAGGGTAGAGCAAATTCTAGGCTTTATATGGTCGCGGTCGCGATTCCAGGCTTTCCTCCGGCGCTGATATTTTTCGCAGCGAGCCTTTTCGTCAAGTACGTTTCCCAACGGTTCACCGTACGCCCAGATAAAAGGCATGTAACGCTACTATTTACGGGGCTCGGGCTTCCTCATTTTTCCGCGTAACCGAACTGGTCCTTACGCGGAAAAATAGGCGTTGCGCGATAGAAAGCGGACGCGGGTCGAACGCGTCGCGTCGATTCGATAAACTCGACGGATGTTTCTGCGGGAAAAATTGCGAGGCGTCGCTTCGCGTCGGGTCCTACTGACCTCTCGTATATTGTCGTAGACGTCTTTAAGGTCGTCGTCCAGAAGCCGGTAAGGATCGACTTGGTAATCGTGCATGGATCCAGGTAGCTGTGTTTGCATGGAACTCATCATCCTTGTCCTGTAGTCTCGCGTGCTCGTTCTACTCTGCAAGAAAGAACAGGGCTTCGTTATTAACAGAAGCAGGAGCGACGCGCGCGCCGAGTTTCTAATTAAAATAATATTTGCTTCGAACCTGTATCCGTTTTGCGAACGCTCGTCTTCGACGAGAGAACGAATTAAGGTCGTTCGAGCGACAGCAAGATACAAAACGTACGCATCGTTTGCAACGAACGAGGGCAGATTGCAACATTTTAATAAGTTCGATCGATCGAAGGTATCGATTCGTATCGGATCCGATCGATCTAATCGTTGGCCTGACACGGTTTACACCGCATCGTTCAATTTGTCGCGATCGAGTTGTCGGCGCTGTACGCTGTTATCGTAGTGAAACGCGAGCCGTGGCTAAGCGGTATTTGATCGGCGACGATTAGCCAACGCTACTGCGTGCACTGGAAACGCTATGTGTAACAATTGCGTGGAACGCACTTGCGATATTCGTGCTCGAGAAACGGGGCACGGTTCCACCTTTCGGATGCGATAACCAAAGTTCGCTATTTCTCTGTGCACAGTTTCCCAGCGATTCGAAAGCAGATTCGATTAAATTAGATAATCCGGAACCACGGCGGAGCATCGATAAAACCTCGGCGCGAATCGTCGATGAAAATATTCCCGATCAGCGGGACGCTGATTAAAAGAAGCAAAATATTCCAATCCTCCGAATGGAGATAGAATCTAATCGGGCACCCGCCCGACGTCGATCGTAAACATAATTAAATGCTGAATTTCTATTCCGCGAATTGATTTTTCGTTTCCACGTGGCTCGCCACCGCCGCCATTCGCTCACATTAAAATTCTTTCGCAACGATTGCAGAATCGCGCGCGTTACGACATTAAGCATTTTTTGCCGCACAGATGTTTGACCAGACTTGTTACAATCTGGACAAACATTCGCGCATAGCTGAAATACTTTGCCGGTTACTGTTACCAAAGGATATCGTGTGAAACGGACAGATCCGAGGGACCCGCTGTTTGCTCGCACAGGCGGAATCGCCGTGAAACGAAACGCCTTTGACAGCCTGAGCGGCAGTATTAATTTCACGAATGCGTCGCGTGTGCCCGGCAAACATCTCGGCCGATAATCGCGCGTCGCCGCTACTGACTTAGTCCGATCACACGCTGTACTATACTACTCGACACCTCGCGGCGCGTCCGATGCGCTGCTGATATTACCAAACGCGGCGAAATGCTCGCCGAGCGTTCGCAATTCAACGATCTTCTTATTAATTCGACGAACAATGCGATGACATCGATGACACGAAGCGAACGTCGTACTCAACTCTTAGATACGCGACGGAGTGTACGAGGATTCATAAATTCTGGTCACTTTTGGATACGTTGACGCGAGTTTTGCCGAAGATTCGACAGCGAGCAGGAATCGGGATTCCGGGCACACGACAGGAAACGGCGAAGCACGCGTGAAACGCGTCACAGTTCCTGTTCCCTGTAGAGCGATTTCCGATTCTATTTGCTCGACAGTCGTAACTGCGGGGCGATTACGCGCGGACGAGCGAGCAGTTGGCCCGGAATAGCTAATCGGTTCGAAAAGCGAGGACAGTTATTTACAAAATCAATCATTCCCGAGACTGTTTACGTTTGGTGGGCACGTAACGGCTCTCTCGTCGTCGCGGCGATGGTACAAGCGCGTCTCCATTTTCCCAGTTGTCGGCAACAGCCCAACGCCGAGAGACGGCATTCTTTCCCTGGTAGTGAGCGCATCGATGCCTACTTTCGTCATCGAAACTTGATTCTGATTCCCAGCGATTTCTTAGCATTCACTGCGGACGACGCGTCGCGACGCTCTTCGCTTCGCGGTTTATCGGTGTCCGACGACGACGACAACGACGACGAGTGTGTGAGATCAGCCGGCGGATTAGGCATGTCAGGATGCGGTAAATGGCACCAACCGGCGTTTCACAAGTTCGCTGCTCGGCTCTCTGCCGGCGCGGCGGTTTAATTGAGGTCACGGCAGGCAAATAATACTCCGCGTCCCGCGGACACCAGCGGGCAACGGACGCGATCGGTAACTGCGCATCGGTCGAACGCCGATTGACAAGTTAACAACAAGTTAAATATTTACGGGAACGAGGGGCCGCCGCGTGCCGCGATCGGATTCTGGAGTTCTGGCTCGATCGACGATGGTTCCTCGAGGGCGGAGGCCATTTTTGACACCGCGTCGCTTCCGCGTTGATTCAAGCACAGAGAGGTGCCGACGATCCGGTTCGAACTAAAAAGTTCACGGAATCTTCGGCTTGCAATCGTTGTCGCGATCTTTGGGATTCTCAACTTTACGTGTCCTCGGTTTGTCCGATGGAAAGCTATTCCTGGCGAACAAGAGCCATTTTTCATTGGCCGCTGTGCTTTTACGTTTCGTCGATTGCAAGAGAATTCTGAAAAGACTCGATCGAAATCATAAATTTCAGGGTCCTTAATTTCGCACATTCTCGACTTATACGAGTTAAATGTTCCTGGTTTTCAAGACGAGTTAATGGCCCAACAATTCCTTCTGGCCATTATCGTTAACAACCCACTCGAAACCGCAAGTTTGACCTCGCATTTCCTTAACGTGCGCGAGATTTTAGTTTCAATCTTCGAGATCCTTCGTTTCACACATTCTCGACTTATTTATTGTCGCAAGGTCGGCGGTGTAACTTTTTCCCTGCGATCTTTTTGCTTTCTTTATAGCTTTATAAATAGCATCGCGAATATAACTCGGTCGAAACTATTAATTACACGCCACCGATTTAGCTCAAGTTTAATTCGTGCAAAGAGGACTTCTCGACGCGCTGCTTTTTGCGAACTCTTCGAATTGTACCGCAGAGCCGAGATGCTAATAGCAATGCAATTATACATTCGAACTATAATCAGCCAGCAGTAATTGTTATCATTTCCATTCGGTTTCGAATGTCTCGATTTCACCTAAAAATATATCCAACTGTGCTTTCGTAGAAATATATTTGCGCTTCGCGAAGCGAAGTAAAAATCGAAAAACTGTCTCCTCGATCGTATTTCCCCGACGATCATAATTCCACGTAACGAACCCAACGAAATAAAACATCCCGTTCCGTGATCCACTTATCCTATCTGTTCCGACTCATCCCAGATCCTCGTACTCTATTTGTCGAACAACAGCCTCGCGCGGCCATCTAATTACGATTTTTCGATCTAATAAGAACGCTGAAGTTTGTACTGCGGGAACAGGTGTATCGGGGCGATCGAGTTAGCTTTGTCGATCGTTTTGTTAACCCGTCGATCTCTCGGAGGCTGGCCTTGAGTAACGGAATGATATGCGAGAGGTAAAAGTGGGGTAGTGAACTTGCCAGTTGCCACTAAACTAGTTATCCAAGAATGTAATAAGCGGCCGCCACGGCGTGCAAATCACACGACACGCATGGACACACATCGAACACGGTCATTGCTCAATGCTCTATGTCCTCCTATAAACATACTGACCGTTTCAATTTTAGGTTGACCTCAGGCAGCGCGTAATATCCGTCAACCGGGGCACTGTCGCCGTCTCACGGACACGAAACCTGGTTCGGTTCCACGAATACGAGTTCTTCGCGTTCCACTCGAAGGTCGTTTCTATGACCACTCGCGTTCGATCGGAGAAAATTAGCCTAATCTCGAGCCGAACCGATTTCTTGGTCGCGTCTCTTCGCCATCGAGACCTTTCTCAGAGACATTCGCATCCTCCGCTGTCTTTGTATTTTCATCTAATCTCCGAGTTCCCGACTTCTATATTTGTAACTTGGAGTCCGATAGAGCGCCGATAAGAATCAATTCTATTACCAGACTGCAGATACTTATGCATTTACGACAGAATTGAAAAAGATCCAATGGACTGTCTGTCGAATTTTGAATACGACGGTACAAGGGGATAAACTAAATATTACCAACTGAAATTTGTCGACGCGATGAAGCTTTCTTCGAGGAACGAACCTCGTTTCTACGATAGGTAGACAAGTTTTCTGGAACATCGTTAAACCAAATTACTTCCGAACGAAATCTCGTGTCCGAGATAATTCGATAACATCGTCTGGCAAAGTAGGATAAGGTCCTACATAATGCCAGACATCTCAACTTCCTTCCTCGAACGAATTCCCGCGCGAAGAACACCGCAAACGGGTTTCCAGTCGATGATTTTTATTTTTGGGAAAGTGCTGCCGCGTCCAGGGTAAAAGTTGATCGCCGAGGGTGGCGACACGATTACGAAATCCTCGTCGAGCAACACGTCGCGCGTGTAACGATTCACTCACACGTCTCTGTGACCGGTGTCTCTCTCTCTCTCTCTCTCTCTTTCTCTCTTACTTACTCATTCATTCACTCGGCACACGTGGCACTTTCTTAAATTCTTTTCGCCAAATTCTTGTCATTCCATGTCATTCGCGAACATTTATGCAAAGTACATCTATTCTGGGCGTAGTCCAGTGTGTAGCCGTGGCAATTCGATACCAGGAATTTCAACGAAGTTGCGCGCGATCCCAGGCATCTGGAATCGATTGTAATTCCGGAATTTTAATTTATTCATCCGTGTTCATACACCGAAAACCGTGTATCACGTGATCCGCGACGTTCCATCGTAATTTGCGGCGAAGAAAGACAACGATGACGCTAGCCGGACTGACCGATCACGCTTTTTAGACCGAAGTTCCAAGTTCTCGGAATTTTTCAAGAGCAAAGTCGACCTGGAAGTCGATCGGCATCTTCCAGGTAAACGATTATCCGGTATCCGATCTCTAAAAGGGGGAAAGTATTTAAAACAAGTTTACCAACTTTTGTTTTCACTGACCCGAGCGAGTTCCCCGTAGAATAAAGGCAATTGAACGAAAAAAGAAACATCGATCGAACGGATCGTGAGAATAGGGTAACGAACGCGCGAAGCCAAAACTAAGATTCGTGCAAAGCCTATCTCTCGTCTCGAGAGGCAAGGATTCGCGTATAACAACCCCAGTTCCCGCCGGTTACCATCGAGAGCAACGTTTAAC